TGGTCTCAAGCAAGTTACAGTTAAATAGAAGGAAAATGTTAGTCTGTTCTGCCACACACAGCTAACCATAGCTGACACTTTGCTGAGATGACCATCTTAGATGCCATTTGACTTTCCAGGATATGTCCTGACCAGTCCATCATAAGTTGAAAACAAATATATGCCTTATTATTCCCGTTTTATTCATTGTATAATATAGACAATTAAGACTTCTCAAACGGACACAGTGGCAGACCAGAACTAAAAGTAAGAAATCCTTATTCTCAGAGAGGCTGTCAAAGCCCGAGGGCATGTATTCTTGAGAATGTTTTTCATTTGTTTGTCTGTTTTTGTTTTGTTTTCAAAACAGGGTTTCTCCATATAACAGCATTGGCTGTTCTGGAACTCACAGGCTGACCTTGAACTCACAGAGATCCACCTGCCTTTGCCTCCCAAGTGCTGGGATTAAAGGCTTGTGACACCACTGCCTGGCGAGGTTTGTTTTGAGAATTAGGAACTGTCAGGACACTCGGGGTGAAAGTAAGTCAGCCTGATGTGGTATAGATAAGGAGATGCTTTGGTATTTAGGAACAAAATAACAACTCTAAAAAGTTGTACTGAAATTTAAAATCCCTAGAAACGGTGTACTGAGTTTTCAATTCTCTGCATTTTAATAAGTTTATTTGTACACTATGCAGTCTAGGCAATTTTAACATGCAATCTTGAAACACATCCACCAAAGGAGATATAATTGCCACTCATAGATGAAGAAATGAGGATGTCGTGATGATTGGAAAAAGAATAAGTGGCTGATGTATCTGGAGAATGTGGTACAGTTTTCATGGAAGTCCCACAGGGCTTTTGTTTGTTTTTGGCCAATGCCATCCAGTCTTTGTCTTCCAAGGGTCCATTCTTATCACCACACCAACATTACGTATTACCACAACAGTACCCACTGAGTACTCTTCACTTCTTGTTTCCAGTAGATGTGACCCTTGACCCTGGGAGGAATAACACAGTGAACACAGCACAGCGCTGAAAGAGCCAAGTGTGTGTGTGTGGTCAACAGCAAATCAGTGCCGACAATGCTTGCCAAAGACGTGCAGGGAAAAGAATGTCCGATGGGGTTGTAGAAGTGTGCAGACCTTCTGGTGGGGAGATGGCCGGGAAAGGCTTCCTGGAGGAAGAGGGAGCAGTTAAACCACATGCATATTTAGGGAAGGATACAGCCTAGACAGAAGGCTTGAGGAAGGGCTGGGTCACGCCATGAAGGTAACGGACCTGGAGGTCTATTTCAGAGCAATGCACTTCCTTCTTTACCTTGTGCAGAAGTGTTATGCAAGGAGGTAGCTGCCGATTCACGGGGAGTGCTGAGACGAATTTGAGGAGAAAGATGAAATGAAGGAGTTTGAAATTTTAATGCAGGAAATGAAGAGCTGTCAGTTAAGCTGGAAGGTGGGCATGGGGCTGGCGGCAGCAATGCCAGGCAAGCTCAGATGTTTCTATTCCTGGCTGAAGCTTTGAATACCGGCGGTTATTCTCTTTTCTTTTCTAATGGGGGCTGGGGTCCCCAGCATTTACTTACCTAGCTGGTGTTCAGCCTGGACCTAGGCCATTTCTCCTTTGAGGAGGTTAGGTTGGGCTCTTTGCTGAGGTAGTTGAGTGCCAGGGAGAGAAAATGGGCCTGCAGTTAAGATCTGGAGAGTTAAGCAACCAACGGGGAAGAGAATGGGCTAGAAGCTAAGCCCACTGGCTGAGGAAGTGACTGTCACTCAAATCCTGTTAGTCTTACTGTGACAGAAGTGACATAGACTAGTTATTTCTCAAAAAGTGCCCAGCTCCTCCTATCTGTGGCACTGGCTACCAGATACTCTGCAGGGAAATTTGGGGGCATTCACCTAAGATTGTTTTCCTAGCTGTTTCCAGGAAGAACAGAGGACACAGGAGGGGAGGAGTGGATGTACCCCTGGGGCTGCCTGGACATCACGTCACAGCAGAAAATGTCCACATAAGTCTTTGGGCCTTTAAAAAATACTTTCAAATGTTTATTATTTGTGCGTATTTGCCATGTGTGTTGGTGATGGTGGAGGAAGTCGGAGGTCCCTCCCCAACCCACAGCTGGCTGGAGTTCCAGGCATCTCTGAATTACCTGATATGGGTGCTGGGAATTGAACTCAGGTCCTAGTCCCTCTCCAGGAGGCTGTTGGTTGAAGAGGAGGACCTTCCCCTACTAGAACCTCCAAACAAGCTCTCAAGGTCTATTTAAATGCAAAATTATTTAAAGCAGTCTTGCCTATTGACCCCGTGTGATGTGAGGGCTGGACTTTCTCAAGCACAGGCCTAGGGAAGGTCCAGGGCTCAGCAGTCAGGACTCAGTTTGACCCTGCATGGGCTCGGAACTCCCTCAGAGCAGCTGTTGTGCCGTGTCCAGAGCTCACGTGAGTGCTGAAGTGTCTTTATATAGCTGGCTTGAAGTTGTCCCTCTGCTCCTTAAGATGAGGGTAATGGCTGGAAGAGAGCCTCTCTGAGTGGAGTGAAGGAAGCCATGTGACCAGTCTCACTTCCTCCCCACCTGGCTGCCCAACAGCAGCACTGGGAACATGCACACCTCCTGTTTGCGCTGCCGTCCTCAGCTCATGAGGACTTCCGTGTGGGCCCCCTGGGTGGAGGACGCCTGTGGCCTGTTTGTGGCCCTAGGCTCCCCTGTAGTCTGCCTAGTGCCCTTTGCTCTGGGCTAGTGCAGTGCCCATGGGACTGCAGGGGGGTACAAAGAATACAAAGGATGGAAGGAATGGTCAGGGTGCTTACCCAGTGTGTGTGAGGCCCTGGATTCCACCCCCAACCCCTCCACAAATTTGAATAAGTAAATAAATTAAAATGTTTTGCTTCCTTTAATATGGTTTGGTTTTGGGTTTTTTGAGACAGGTCTCATTTTGTAGCCTAGGCTGGCCTCAGACTTGTGCTAATCCTCCTGCCTCAGCTTCCCACATGTTGGTGATACAGATGTGAGACAGCACAGCTGACATAAAGAAATAAATGGAAGTGTGAGTCCCGGAGCATGTGGGCGGCTCAGAGAGTTCAGTGTGCCTGTCTGTCTGAGGCCTTCCACGGTGGATGGTGGAGGAAAGGCTCCCACCAGGCCTTGTGTGGATCTTTCTCATATTCTATGATACAGTGAACTTAGAGGAAGGGTCTAGACTAAAAAGTGATGGTTCCCGAAAAGTTTCTACACCCCATAAGCCTCTCCGCCCATGCAGCAATCCAAATCAGACCAAATCAAATGGAATTAGAAAAAGTCGACCTTTAATGGATATAGTGCTCCTGGATGGCCTTCTAGCCCCCTAGAGAGGAGATGGGAAGGGGAGACTGGAAAAATCACGAGTCTGTTTTCTGGGGGACAGTTTAAATACCCTGTGAGAGTGATCTTGAGTATCTCTGTGGAAGGGGCCATCATTTGTCAGGCTTTCTGAGATGCAGCAGGGTTTAGAGGGAGATGGGGGAAGAAGCTTGGGTGGAACTTCCACCATAACATTCCAGATTCTTTGGGTATATGGATGCCAGGGGGCTGGGGTGAAGCTTTCACCATAACAGTTCCTACCCATTTCTCTCACTCTGTTTGAATATGTGTGTGTGTGTGTGTGTGTGTGTGTGTGTGTGTGTGTGTGTGTGATGAATGAGTGCTTTTGCCTTTAAAACAAAACAAAGTTACAATAAATATACTTATTACAAATACCCAAGTGTTGGATGTGATGGCAAATACCTGGAAACCATCACTAGGGAGCCTGAGACAGAAGGATCAAGAAGAGTTCAAGGCCTCAGCTGTTGAGGTGGCTTAGTGAATAAAAGTGCATGTCCCACAACCCTGAAGACCCGAGTTGGATCCCCAGAACCCGTCATGGAAGGAGATCAAATCCTGAAAAGCTGTGCTCCACACTCATGTCATGTGCACACATGCAACAACAACAATTAGTGCCAGCATGGACTACATAGTGAGTTCAAGGCTAGTGTGGGCTGTGTGGCGAGACCTTGTCTCAAAAACAAAAAAGATCCAAGAAGTCCAAAGTGTCTAGTGTAGAAATGATACTCCCCTCTTATCCCTCCCATCCCTGTAGGTCTTTTCCTTTTCCTTTAACTTTCCTTAACAGTGGCAAGTGTCCTTCATGACCTCTTTCTTACTGGATGAATAAAACATGAAGCCACACTGTTAGACTGCTGTCTTCAGCACCTGGCCAATTCCAGCAGAATAGCTGGACAGTGGCCCTTCCTTTTCCCTGGCATCTCATTTAGTGTTTCAAAGGGGAAACTTAAGGACCCCCTGTCCCAGAGATATCCCCCTAAGTCCCTCAGTCTGTGGGTGAGTCCCAGAGAGGTGAGGTGGCACATTTGTGGTAGACAGACTGAGCCCTGCCACCCTGAGCATTCCATGGGCAGCACGGTGTGTTTTCTACCGATGTCTACCTGTTTTGATCCATGGAACTCCATCTTGATAACATCTTGTGAAGCTGGGGCTGCTGCTGGTGTGTGTGTGTGTGTGTGTGTGTGTGTGTGTGTGTGTGTGTGTGTGATTGCAGCTGGGGAAGTGAAGGAGTTGCAACCCCAGGCTTTCTCACTTTGCATTCAGTGCATCCTGCATTAACTAAGGGGCTGTCATGTGCCAGGTGTAGGGGGTGGGAGAGCCAGCCTGGCCAGGGCCTTGCTGGCACCCTGTGCAGAGCAAAGGGCCCTAGAGAGACCCTCATCATCCTTAGAAAGGGTGCAGATCCCAGGTCTGGACCATGAGGGAGGTCTGGGTTTCTATGTAAGTGTGGACACAGAGGGAAGGAGGCCTAAGACTTCCTCTGGGGCCACTAGGCCTCCCCCCCTTCTCGCGCCTCTCTTTCCTTTGCCCCCACTCCCCACTTCCTCCTCTCTGGTTCTTTGTCTGTTTGTCCATCTGTCCCACACCGCGTGCGGTTCCTGCCCCCCTCGCTGTCACAGTATTATCCTTCCCCCATCACACGCTTTCCTTCATTCCAATGCAGGCGTGCTGGTCACCATGACAACAGAGACAGGCCCCGATTCTGAGGTGAAGAAGGCTCAAGAGGAGACTCCACAGCAGCCTGAGGCTGCTGCAGCCGTGACCACCCCGGTGACCCCCGCAGGCCATAGCCACCCGGAGACCAACTCCAATGAGAAGCATCTGCCCCAACAGGACACGAGGCCTGCTGAACAGGTGTGTACTGGGGCCTGGGATGTCCCTCTTCCCACCCCACTAGTCCCCTTGGTCCAATTCTTAGGGCCCTAGTGTTTTCTCAGCAGGGAAGGAAAAGGGAGATATAGCTACATTCATGACTCTAGGCTGTGGCATGACGGTCATTTTACACTTAATTCACCAGTCCCCAGAGGGGAGCTGTCATTGCCCCTGTTTTATGTTGAGAGGGTCTGTGGCTCACTGTGGTGTACCCAGATCCCCAAAGTCACATAGTAATAAAGAGACATAGGTAGAGGTCAGGCCCAGAACCGATTCCAGATACAGTCCTGCCAACTTTAGTCTCCTGTCTTTTCACTCAAGCCTGGCAAACCTGGTGAGACCCTGACAAAACTCCTCCCCGGAAGACTCTAGGAGACTGAAGGACATACTGAGCCCTCCCTAATTCATGGCAGGTCCAGAGAGGCCAGGACTTGGCCGCACTCTTGGAGGGAGCCGGCTCTTTCCTTCATTGCAATCGCCACAGCTCTCAGCCTCTTGCTAGACCATGTGACAGTTAAGATGGGACAGAGCAGTCAGATGCCCTGGTGAGTCACATGCTGTTCTAGGGAGAGGTACAGGGCAGCTTGGTGGTGACGCTAGTTCTCTGGACTGCTCCTGTCCCCTGAGGCTGTCCACAGTAGCAGTAGTCTGTAGGCAGACAGACCCCTCCGCTCACATGGAAAATCGCATCTCTACCCATGTACACCAACCATAGCCCCCAGCCACCGGAAGGTCTTGGAAAAAGTAGTACTTCATCTTGGCCTCAGCCACCCAGTTACTTCCTGTTGCTTCAAGTTTGCTGACTTCTTTCCTTGTGGGTCCCACAGAGCCTAGATATGGAGGATAAAGACTACTGTGAGGCCGATGGCCTGTCGGAGAGGACCACGCCCAGTAAGGCCCAGAAGTCACCCCAGAAGATTGCCAAGAAGTTCAAGAGTGCCATCTGCCGAGTCACTCTGCTCGATGCCTCTGAGTACGAGTGTGAGGTGGAGGTAGGGAGCACCCAGTGCCATATGCCCTACCCCAGGCTGGCTGGCCTCAGTGCCGGGCTAGCTCCTGTGTGTCCTGAGTCCAAGCCAAATCAGAGGAGGACCAACTGTGATGTTCAGAGGGCTGGGTTGGCCTGGCACTCCCTTGTACAGATGGCGACACCACGGTCCAGAAAGGGTCATCACTATTGCAAACCAAATTAAGACCCAACACAGACTGGCACCAGGAAAAGGTGTCTCAGGATGTCTGTGCCTTGGTAAGAATGTCACCATTTAAGGGCTGATAAGCAGGGCTGACAGAAGGATGTCACACTGTGATTCTAAGTTTCAGGCTATCTTCTGGATAATATGTGCATGTGTGCGTGCGTGTGTGCGTGCACGCGCGTGTGCACACACACACACACACACACACACACACACACACCTCACTTGGCATCTTCTCTTCCTCTCACCCCCAAGCCTTAGGCTTTCAGCTTCTTCTCTTGATTTCTGTCAAGGAGAAATCTCCAACATGCTCCCAAGCAGATATGTGGTCTTAGGAAGACCCTGACGGGGCTTGTGAGGGAGACCTAGGTGAGGTGGACATTAGAGACTTGGACAGTGATGCCAGGTGGCAGGCGTGCTGAGGTCCTGCCCAGCCACTAGGAGGCTCACGGGAGCTCTTTCTTTGTCCAGGAGAAGCTGTGTCAGCCCCCAGCCCCCACCTGCAGGTGCACCAGCCTCACGGTAGCTCTTCTCTCTCCCTCAGAAGCACGGCCGGGGTCAGGTGCTGTTTGACCTGGTCTGTGAGCACCTCAACCTCCTGGAGAAGGACTACTTCGGTCTGACCTTCTGTGATGCTGACAGCCAGAAGGTACCTGGCTAGGGGTCTGCTGTGGCGGGTGGGAAGGGAGGCAGTCCTACAGACCTCTGTGTGTACATCAGCTGCCCTAACCACTCAGTTCTCTGACCCAACTCCACGCCCCCAGTCTTTTCCAAGGTGCTCCCAGACAGGTACCTAGAAAGCTATGATGTGTCTGTCTGGGTTCCCTGGGAACAGAGCAGTCCTCAACCAATGCCTGGGCAGGGTGGTGGTGGTGGGGCAGGCTGCCTCACTTTCCTTCTAGCTGTAGCTGCAGTACCTGGCCACTGTGGTTGTCTCAGGGCAATGCCAGCCCTGAAGCCATGACCAAACCCTGCTGGGAATCCAGGCCTCACTCCCTAGTGCCAAGTAAATAGATTGAGGCAAGAATGTTCCCCCATGATAGTCTGTGGCTGGCCACTTCCAGGTAGTCATCTCTCCCAGTCCCACTCTGCCCACTCCTTCATCTCCCTTCTAAAGGATGAATCTTCGATTCTCTTCCAGAATTGGCTGGACCCCTCCAAGGAAATCAAGAAGCAGATCCGGAGTGAGTACTTGCTTGTGGCTGGGTTGTGTGGATGGGTGGGCAGGGCTTGGCTCTAGTGCTCCCACCTACTTTGGAATGTGCTCCTGGGTCCCCTACTCCTTTGCCACGCATGCAGGTCTTAGAGAAGGCAGGGTAGGAATGATATAGACATTATTTTATAGGTAACAAGTCTGAGGCCCAGGCAACAGATGACATCACAGAGCCACACTGAAAATTAGTACAGACACTGTAAATGCATTCAGGAGATCACCTTTGCAGAGTCTTCTGGGTCCTGGGGACAAACAGAGGAGCTGGAAAGAGCTAGCCTTCTGTCCAAGGATGGTGTAGTAACTAACAACCCTTAACTCAGGTCTGCAGTCTGACATAAGGTCACAGAGCCAAGTGCTGGCAGAGCCAGTCTTGAGCCCTGGCCTTCGTCTTGTTCTCTTTTCAATGCCTGGGGAGGTAGCAGATGACAGGTCAGCAGCTTGTCTTTTCTGGCCCAGAGAGAAGCCTGTTAGGAGGTATGAGAAAGCTTTCAAATGGTGGAAGGAGGAGGTTGGTAGCCTCAGCAAATAGGCCTGCAGTAGGTGAAGAACATTTCTGTCTCCTTCCCAGGCCCCACACACCCTGGATATGCTTGGGCTCTTCAGGGTTTTGCTCCCTGGCCCCTGGCTGGGAAGCTGTAGCTGAGTCTGTTGCCATGACAGCAGGCATCTGGTCCAGGGAAGCCAGCTGACTCTACAGGAGGAGGCTTGAGGAGATTTTCCTATAGGTTCCTGACAGTTGGTGACAAAGAGGCAGGCACATAGGCAGAGCCTATTTCTGTGGGTCAGCAGGATTCTAGGGCTGAATTGTAGGCCGTCTTCTAGTGTGGCAGCCCTGCTGGGAGACGGGCCTCTCATGCCTTGAAAGAATTGCTACAGACACAGGCAGCCAAGTTGCAGAGTTTAATAAAGCCTGGAAAAGAGAGGCAGCCAGGCTGAATGACCAGGCCCTAGGGTCATTCCCCAGAGCAATCCTAGAGACCCTGTCTTGTTACATAGACTGTTGTTCCTATGACAGCTCAAGCTATGGCCTTCACATGGCCTTGATCCTTAGGAGGTGCCTCCCCTAGAGGACTGGGGAATTTGCCTCAGTAGGCAAAGAGCCTGCCGCCTAAGCATGAGGACCTGAGTTCAGATTCTCAGCACCGAGTAGAGCCAGTAGAGCACCACACATTTGTAACACAGGTAAATTCTAGGGGCTTGCTGTCCAGCCAGTCTAGCCACACTGATAAGCTCCAAGTTCAATGAGAAACTAGTTTCAGAAAATTAGGTGAAAGTGGATGACTCAGCACTTGAGCAATGTAGGAAATACTTATTGGATGCAGGTGCAATAAAGAGAAAAAAAAAGGACATGAATGTGAAAAGGAGACATGTTGGGGTATCGGGGAAGTATGGACGGATATGATCAAGATACATGGTATATATGTATGAAATTGTCAAGAATAAGAGATGGCTTGGTGGTTAAAAGCACTTGCTGCTCTTTCAGAGGACCTGGGGTTGATTCCCAGCACCCACCATCTGTGACTTCTGTTTCGGGGGAATCTGATGCCCTTTTGTTGTCTCTACAGGCACTGCATGTGTGCACTTAATACACAGGCAAAACCCTTAGATGTATAAAATAAAAATAAGTCTTTCAAAATAACAACAACAGCTGGGCTGTGGTGGTACATGCCTTTAATCCCAGCACTTAGGAGGCAAAGGCAGGTGGATCTCTGTGAGTTCAAGGCCAGACTGGTCTACAGAGTGAGTTCCAGGACAGCCGGGTCTTCATAGAGAAACCCTGTCTCAAAAAACAAAACAACAGCAATACTACTACTAGTAGTAATATGGTGGGTAGCATTAGAGGAAGACATCAACCTCTGGCCTCCACATGTACATAAGCAAGCAATACACACACACACACACACACACACACACACACACACACACACACACACACACATACCCGCTCTGCACGCCCATGCATGTGCCTTTCTCTATTAGAGCTTTGTCTTTGTCCCAGTCTCTGAAATGCCCATCTGTTCACCCCAGCCCTGTCCTTTGGGACTGCAAAGGAGCAATTTTGCCTCCTTCCTGTTGTTGGTCACATCCCCTCACTCTTGATGGTGGCTTCATGAGCCCTTGTACCCCAGGCTTCTGAGATAGGTATCTCTCCCCTCTAGCCTCATTGCCTGTCATCTAAGATACCTTGGACAGTTCTCTGAGTCGCTGATTGTTCTTGGCAAGTGGACTAACCATTCCTGCCTCATGAGCGGCCAGTGACAGCAAAGTGACACACCCTTAGACATTGCCAGACAGGATGGCTGTTTTCTTCTGGACACAGCCTGGATTTAAATTCTAGCTCAATTCCCACTTCTTGTGCTTTGTAACTGTTCCATGCCTCAGTTTCCTCCTGTAAAGTGGGGTCATGATAACGCAGCTTTGGGATTGCTGAGAGGGTAAAACGGGGTACGACACTCACACAGTGCCTGCTCCAGTGCACTCAGCATGCACCAGCTCTGAGCACTGCTCACGGGCACTGCTTTTCTTCCTGACACGGGGCTTGTGTCCCTTGAAGCTTTCTAAGGAGTCTTTGTGATTAAGAGCCTGGGCTCTGGGGTCAGATGACTGAGTTTGGAAACCTGTTCTCTGTTACCAATTAGTTGCTCGATCCTTAAAATCTTTGTCCATGAAAAGGAAACTCAGCTTGGGAAGGTTGCTCACTGGCAGAGTGATTGCCTGGCATGCCCATGGCCTTGGGTTTGATCATGAGTGCTGGAAAAAAAACCCAAACAACAACAACAAAACCAACCAACCAATCACGAAAAACCTTACTCTTGGGGTGACTATGAAATTTAAGTTTCTATGCTGGTGGGGAAAGCTGGTCACCTTTGTTATTTAGGCTTCCATGTTCTCAAAATTGTATTTTAGTGAAGCAATTCAGTGCATACATGTGGCATGCAGGGTAACTTTTCTTTCTTTTTATCTTCTTTTCCATTGTTAGCTCTCAGCTCTCCCAAGAAATGGATTTTATTATGTGTGGTGTGTGTGTGCATGTGCATGTATGTGATGTGTGTGTGTGTGTGTGACGTGTGCATGTGTGTGTGTGATATGTGCGTGTGTTGTGTGATGTGTGTGTGTACCACAGCATACATATGGAGGTCAGAGGACAATTCTCAGGAGTTTCTTCTTACACTGTACTCAGGTCGTCAAACTTTCATGGCAGGTGCTTTTACCCCTTGAGCCACCTCGATGGCCTACTTCCAAGTCTGTTAGCCTGGGCCTCAGTTTCCTTATCCATCAAATGGGAATGATGCTCCAGGACTGGATTGTCCCAGAGAGGGAAATCTATGGAAGATTGCTCCCAGGCTAGGGCATCAGGGACAGCCACCAGGATGACGCAGCCTCTCTGACCTTTCTTGCCTTTCCCTCTTAGGCAGCCCCTGGAACTTTGCCTTCACAGTCAAGTTCTACCCTCCTGACCCTGCCCAGCTGACAGAAGACATCACAAGGTGAGGACCATGGAGAGAGGGATAGATGCGCTGGTCCTGTGGAACTGTGTGTGGCCCAGGCATGATGGCTCTGGGAGATGCTGGAGGCTCTGGGAGATGCTGGAGGCTCTGGGAG